TTTTATATGATTATGATATACTCTATCAACTCGTAGCACCTAGCTATTAAAACTTGCTTCCAACAGACAACCCTGTCAGCAGTACTTATTAAACGTATATATTTTAGCTAACCTTGCTATAAAATTCATTCCTTAAATCATCCTTGACTGAAAAGCATATTGTTAAAACTTTGAAGGACAGAATACATTGTAGACGTTCAGTGTTTTAAAACCTATCACAACTTATTTATTTTTAATGAAATTTTGTATGTTAAACTCGGGAAAAAAAAAATCCCATATCTGTTGTAATCGTACTCAAGCCACCTTTTGCGTAGAAAAATTCATTATTTCGGGACAGAAGGCAAAATAAATAGTTGATAACCAATTTCTATGGCATAAGCTAGAATTGTGGCAATGATTCTTATTAAAAAGAGCTGAGAGTTTTTAAAAACGAGATGGTTGACGCTGAAAAAGTGCACGTTAAGGGTCTCGAGAAAAAAAAAACATTGTCAAGAGGTAACACTATGCTGGAGAAATTATTTTTTAATATAAAATGTACACGAAGCAAGTTAGTGAATAATCTTTTTAACCCTTTTAGAGTCATTATTATCGAGGAGTATAAATATCCGGCCCTAGCAAAATTTACCAATGACTATTTGCCGTGTCAATTCCACAGCTTCAGTGTTAACCCTTCATGTGGCATAAGAAATATCCAGGCAATAAAAGATTGGATGCTGCAAGAAAATGTGTTAAATATAATGTACACAGCAGTTTTTTGCTATTAAAATATACTTATATTGTAGCTACTAACTTACTATTTCGACTGTATTTTCAATAAGCAGTTTTTCATTTTAATTTTCTACTGAAAACTTTTTCATCCCAAAAACCTTAAATACAACATAAGCGTGAGCTTAAGCATAAGCATTAACAACTTATAAAAAAAAAACTTTCTGTAACTAAAGTATCGCAAACAGAGAGAGCTTTGCATTCAAATTGCTTGTGGTATTAAAAGAATGCAGTGTGTGCGGATAAAAAAAGTTGTGAAAGAGAGAGCTCCATCTTCTACAAAAACTCAAGCAGCGTGCTGATTATACCAAGTAGCACACGCAGATAAAAGAATCTCTGCAAGAAAGAACTCTATTTTCCAAAAAAAAATTCAAGCAGTGTGCTGATTATATCTACCAAACAGTGCGCAGATAAATGAAGCTGAGCAAGAGAAAGCTCAATCTCTCATAAATTTCTTGCGGCAGGTGCAGGGAGGGAAGTAAAACTGCTGGAAAGGGGAGGTGTGTTAGAGTCGCCATGACGATTGTAGCACAGGTGTGTTAGAGCCTCTTTTGTTTAAATACTGCTGATGTACTACTTAATTTAGTTGATAACCATCAATTCAACTTCGTACTAAGAGAATAGAAAATCCTTTCTACCATAAAAAAAGTTAATTTAATTAAATCAGAGAATCAATCAAACATAACAAATATAAAGATAAAACATCCGTCACAAAAATTTTATGCAATATAAAGTTTAAGAATTATGTTTTTCTTAGTGTATTGGGAGACACGAAAAAAATAAGGGAAGCAAGTATTTTTTGGGCCTTTTCTAGGCACTTGGCAAGAACGTAGCAGCAACTAAGATAATATTTTCTGATTACGTTACATGAGCTGCTTGGACATTGCGCGTATACTACGTGACTTGAATGGTTCATAGTAAACATAAGGTGGCATGTAGTTTTATGGCGTAGCTCGTTATTTAGCAGAATCTTTTCTGGCCCATGGTATGTAATTTACGGAATGTAAGCAGGTACTGGGTATACACCTAGCATGTACTTTCTGGGAACTGGGCTGGTACTTTCCGGGCACTTAGCAAGTATTTCCCAGGCACTATGAGGGCATTTCAAGAGGATTTCGTCGGCATCTCTCGAGCACTTGGCGGGTACTTTGCGGGTATCTCCCAGGAATTTGGCGATCATTCGGCAAATACTTTGCGGGCACTTAGTGGGTACTTACGGGGTACTTGGCGGGTACTTTCCAGGCACTTGGTGGGTACTTTTAGCCATGTGCCTTCAAAATAACATGAAAGTAGCCGCCAAGTACACAGAAAGTACCAGACAAGTGCTCGCCATTTGCCTAGAAAGTACACGTCAAGTGCTCGGGAGATACCCGACAGCTTCTTGGAAAGTGCCCACAATGTGTCTGGGTTGTACCTGCCAAGTAGCCTGAAAGTATCCGCCAACACTTTACTTTCCAAGTATTTGCCAGGTATCTTCCGGGTACTTGGCATGTACCTCCCTGGCACTTGGTGAGTACTTTCCAGGCACTTAGTGGTTACTTTCATGGCATTTGGCAGGCACTTGGCGGAAAGTATCTGCCATGTGCCCAGGAAGTACCCACCAAGTACCCCGTAAGTATCTGCCAAGTGCCTTGAATATACTTGCTGAGTTGACTTCGAAGACTCAAACAAAGCTAATAACCACATCGATAGCTTGATAAGCTGATAACCACGCTTCCGTTTCACAAAATTTCATTATTTGTCTGTTATGCAATTTTTATTTTATTTATTTGATTTTATTAATTGTTATTCTCATTCTAAATTGTCATTGTTTAAATACTGTGCCTTTTTAGCACTTGTTCATTACTAGAAATGTGCCTTTTTGCGTTGTAGTCATTGTACAAATATTATATGACCATCAATACATGTTGTATAGGAAGCAGAACAACATCGCTAATTTTTAAGTTGACAAAATGTAACTTTTTTTATAATTGTTTTTGAGTAAATATTCAACGTTAGTCACTTGTAAGTTCTTAGAGTTAACCATTGTTATCGTTTTCTTGACTTGTGTATGATTAATGTGATTTGTAAGTAAGTTGTTGTTTATTTTTCGTTGTTATAGTTTGCTTGAAACAGGTTGTTAGTATACAACTGAAACGTTGTGTACACTTTAGATCAAAAATAAATCTTTCGACAGTATGCCATAAAATGTATGTACTTTATTTATTCAGACATAAGTTTAAAAAATTTTTAATTATTTTTATGTTTTCACTTGAGAGTTTTTTATTTCTTGGTGAAAGTCAACAATGACTTTGTTTTATTAAACTAATGTAAAAAAGATATTTGGTATGAATCAATAAATAAGGATAAGGATGGAGGAAGTTTCAAACAAATTTATGGTGTCTGGTAAGTTTTTTGTCTTACTAGTAAGTATGCAAGACGCTCTAGTAATATTGGTGGGTTTGCAGCAGTAAACTAAGGTTCAATATTGCTATTGTGAATTGTGAGTCAGTAAAATTTTAAGTGTTTTGGCGTTGCAACCTCTATTGTTAAGTAAAAGTTAGTTGTTTTTTGAAACATGCCCTCCACTAATATGTAGTTACTGTATCCTACAATTTTTTCGCGTATAATTTTTAATAGGCTTTGCAATACGTATATTTTAAATTTATTGTTAAAAAGTAGGAAAAATAAGATTTAAACAGTAAATATAAAAAAATTCATTTAATAAATTAAAAAAATTTTACAATACTTAGACGAATGAGATTTACATAGAGATAAATACCTTAATCAAAGATAATTAATTGTACGTTAAGGAAACTTTGATACTAGTTTAACGGTCTGCTTAAGAAAGAAAGAGAAAGAGCACTTAAAGCATGGTTCTGCTGAAACCATTTATTTGATAAGTAATTCTAAATAAAAAAACTTGTATGAAAAAGTAGAGGGACATTTAATTAGCATTCTCCTGAAAAAATTTAGCGTGCTGACCTAGACGAGGTGTTGATTTTGGCAGGTGCTGACGTATAGAGCTCAAACTGTTAGTTAGCAGGAAACTAATTAATTAAGCGTTGATATAGATTAAAACGAGTGGCTGGTAGTAAAGTGAAAAAACTAGCCAATAGTTTTTGGTATCTATAAAAATCATATTGAAATTTTATACCTTAAAGTTATGAAATATGCGTTATGCCTGGAGCAAAAATGATGATTTAATAGCTCTTTTGCAGAAATTCTCATGATTATATAGCATAAGGATGCATGAAAAGCTTTGAACTTTTTGAGCTAATCTTACTTACTGATACTTAATAACTCGTCAAAAAAAAAAAAACTAGACACCGATAAAAATAAGCATTTGCCTACTTTGGGCTACTTTGAGGGTTAGGTGTGCCTTCGGTAGAAAAAATAGGGTTTGCACCTTGTGTGCGTCCAACCAGGGCAAACACAAGCAGTCCCTCTAGCCTGGTGCTTGCCCTGGCGACATGCACCACCAGATACAAAAACTACTATAAGTTCATACCAGATGATTCTATCAAGCATTATAACCTGTTGATCATTATACAGATACTTATATTTTTCTACTTTTTCTAAATATTTGTTAAGTTAACGTGGTACACTACGTCACTAGGGTACGAAATAAAAACATTAGGTATACGTATAATGTTTTTATTACCGAGGGTGCAGAGTGTAATTTTGCACCCGTGCGCAACCTTTGCCCCGAGTAAACCGCTTTGGGCCCTAAGGCGGAAAAATACTTTTCCGCCCTCGGGTGGTTTTGGGAGACTGGTACTTCCTCGGGCGAAAAAGCAGTTTTCCGGAACTCGTTCGAAAAGTCTCCTTTACGAACCTCGTTACGTCCCTCGCCTTCGGCTCGGGCCGCAAACCTCTCGGTTCGCAAACAGAGACTTTTCAAACTCGTAGGAAAACTACTATTTCTGCCCGTGAGGCCAAAGTGATTATAAAGGCGCAAAATGTGACCCAGGGGCGCGAAATGGCAGTTGCACTTTAAGTCCATGGTAAGAAAACTGTATTTTCTGTCCTTGAACGTTTTTGAGGATCAGGTGTGCCATCGGTACGAAAAATAAGATTCGTCACATAAGTGCCATCGATTTACGCCTAAATTACGCCGCAAAATAGTCTTGAAGACGATGGCACTTATCCAACAAAGACTACTTTTAATTGATAAAGTATTGATCATTACACTTTAAGTGACATGGAAAACAACTAATTCAGTCATAAATTTTCCGGAACTCACTTTGTTTTAGATCGCAAGTGTGTGTGCCAAACTCCTCTTATCAACGAATTCTAGGAATGGATAAGTGGTGCCAAACAAACTGTCTTCGATACCCACCAAACTGTCCTTCATCTATTTGTACATGTCTGTAAGTATTTTATATTAATTTTTTTTCATGTTCCAAAATATAAAATATTTTGAGATATGTTTTACTAGACGTTTTAATAACGTTATTTGTTTTTATTTTAATTTCTCTCTCTGCATTATGTATATTTTTGTTATGCNTTTTTTCATGTTCCAAAATTAGTTTAAAAAATAAGTATACCACATAATTATGATTTAGTTGTAAAAGCATTTTATTAACATTATCTCTTTTCTTAAGTTTCAGTCTTAATAGCAATAAGATAGACCATATAGTAAATTTTTCTTTCAAATAATGAAATGTTACATGCAGTTGGAAGCCACCATAAATGATGACAACTTTTTTTTTATGTGACAATACTCTTTCGAAAAAAAAATTTTGATGTGTTGACCTCTAATATTGAAAAACTGAAATATGTCTTGAAAGATAACAAAATAGAGAATAGGTTTTTTTTTATTGACCAAAAAACATTTTTAAGATGTGTTAGTTGTCTCTACAATTTATTTTGTAAAACTCATTTTTCACGATAGTATAAGGATAGACGTTAATACTTTTTTTATATTTTAGCTCTAAAAATTATAAAAAACAATTGTATGTATCTTTCGAAAAAAACAACAAAGTAAATGTAAGGTGCAACAGAACTTTTTAGTACATGAAGAAAAATTGAGTTACCTTTTTACAGTTAGTTAGTTCTTAAGGACCATACTTTTAAAATAATTTATTACGAATACTGAAGTAGTTTTTTAGGACTATAGGATCACTGTTGACGATTCGGGTCTCAAATTTTTAAAACTTAATATGACAGATCTGATATCATAGAGTGCTTATTAAAAAATTTAGAATTTTAAAATGTAAGGCAGCCGTTTTCTTTTTGTGAATATTTTAACACAAAAGTTCTGTTGTAATATTTTGAATAAAATGTATAGTTTTTAAGATAAAAATCTCTAATATTCATAATTTACTCAAGATTTATATAATTTTTTTTTGTTCTTGTAAGTAGTCTATTTTTATTCATCTTTAACACGTATTTAACTGTTTCTTGGGTCGTTCACGGGAACTTCAATTCTGAGTTCGAATTTAAAAAATTGAGTATAGCTGATGTTGTCAGATAAAATAAAAGTACATCCAAGATACTTAGTACTGTAATAAACCATGTTATGGGTGCTATTTAAAATTTTTGAATTCCGATTTGAGATTTGTCACTGCGAGTCTGATTTACACTTACGTTAAAAAGAAGAGTTATGATTGAAGGAACAAAAAGTACATTATGATTCTTACCACTCTACATTAAGGACGTTCAGTAGAGATAGAACCCTGTAATGAATCTTTTTGGAATTTTACACCAGACATTTTTATCGTTGTTACAATAAAGCTGTTGAAATTTCAACAGGTTCATCTGTTTCGTTTTCGAGATATTGAATTTTAAAATTCAGTCATTTTAACACGGTCGCTTATGAGGAAACTTATAAAAGCTCAGTTTAAAAAAAATTGGTTTGATGAATATCTCCAATTTCTTTATATGTCACAGATAATGTTATTAACTTTATGTTAACAAAGTCTTACAACGATCGTCTGATTAGCTTATGAATAAGAAAATTAAATAATAGTCCGACAAAATCGCAACGGCAACGTTGTTAGAAGCGAGAAATTTAAAACGTTACAGAACGTAAATCAGTAAATATTTGAATATTATGGTAGATATTTATGAATTTCTGTATAAAACATAAGCTTATATATGTGTGTGAGTGTATCTACATAGGTTTACCCATACCTATAATGAAACAATTTACTATAATAACACATATTTATTTTTCTTATTAAAATTTTTAATTTGTAATTCTTATACAGTAAAATTTTTTTACACAAGATAGCAAAATCACATGCTTGTAGTAATTACAGAGACTAGAGTGTGTTCTAATTATTTAACATATCACTTTTGATGAGACTTTTCAAGTCATATAAAAGTTTAAGAATTTTATTTACATTAGCTACGAATATAATTGTATGTACATATACATGTTTTAAGTCTTTTTAATTATTTACTTATTTTTATTACATTGTTATAACGAATAAACATCAAATACTTACATTTTCAGCACAAATACATTACAAATATACAATTACACTGCCGTAACCGATGCAGCAGACAGTGCAGACTGCAGACTCTGCAGAGTGCACACCACCTGATATGTGCATATATGTGTCTACATGAACACTCACACAAAGAAGACCTATGCGTTGATGCCAAGTCCTCACTCATCGCTACTTCCCCCTTACCCCGCAAGTGGTTCCCCCCACTATCTTTACCGAACGTCCTTAAGCTTCAGTAGTAAGAAATTGTAAAGTGTAGCAGGAGGACAAGCCCTGCCAGTATTATCATACACACAGAGATACATATATATGCGTAAATTGAATTGAAAGAAACAAACCAGGGGGTATAAATGAGTCATGGGATCAACGATAAGAACGAAGTTGTTCAATTTAATGTTGTTTAAACATGAGATGAGTGCCAAAAAATAATTAAATATCAGATGTGCATCGAAGAACATCATTGAATAAAGGAACACAATTTCTTAGGTAACAAGGGGATTGCGAGACCTATAACAAGCATGAAGTTCTATAAGAATAAGTACTGCATGTATGTAGTTTAGTAACTGTATATATGCACGACGTTCTCTTGAAGTTAAACCAATGGGACTATTTTGTTTCTTTTCTTTTGTTTTTTTCACTTGTTTTTCAAGTTTTCATTTAACTGAACTACGGGTATGTAAAACTTATTCCCATAGAGCTTACTTCTTTTTATAGGTCTCTCAACCTCCTTGTTACCTGAGAAATCGTGTTCCTTTATTTTATAATGTTTTTTGATACACATCTCATGTTTAACTATTTTTCAGCACTGATTTCATGTTTTAGCAACTTCATTTTAACCGTAGATCCCATAACCCATTTATACCCCGTGGTAATTTTTTTTTAATCGTCTTATTTAATCTTTTTTTTTTCATTTTTTTAAGTTTCATTGTTTTACATTTTAATTTTTTTATTTCATAGTACTTTTTTAATGTCTTTTTAAATTTTATCGTAATTTTTTTTTAAACTTTTTATTTCATTACTTTTTGTTCTCTAACTTTTTTTCAGTTCATTTCCTTTTTTCATTAAACTTCTATTTTTCACTTTTAAAAAAATCTTATTTCCTTTATATTTATTTTATTTTATTGTTAATTTTCCTTATTTAGTTTTTTTTTAATGTCTATTTTGATTTAATTACCTTTTTAAATTTTATTTTTAATTATTTTTCTTATTATTTCGTCCATTCCCTCGACTTATTAAATATTGATTTTGAAGGACTTGAACCCATGTCAACTGAATTAAAAGAACAAGCAGATTCTTAAGCTATTAATGTTATTATTGCTTACAGCTAAAAATTGAACAATAAAACGCACTTTACACCCACAGAAAATCATTATCACAATCTATTAACACTTAATTCATTGACACGTTGCAACACGAGGAAAATTAACCTCAAAATGAAATATATGTGCTTTCTACGTATCACTCAAAATCGCTTCACCTTACAAAGACAACTGTCAGATAGGGAAGGAATGTCTTAAGGGGGTAGTGTCACAATGTATGGTTAGTGTGTGTTCTGAAATACATTATGTGTTCCAAAATAAACAAGTGAAAATAAATGTGGCAACGCCGCATGAGGCGAAAACCCTTTGTATATTTACACGTATAAGTATAGATACATTTAAAGGTTACATTGTACTTCAACATTGAGTTGGTTGTAAGATCTTCGTTGTAACATCTTTACAGATCTTGAAATACACGCTTTTGTATGTAATAACTAAACAACGGTAAGGCTATGGGTGCTGCTGTCTAGATATGATGTTTAAAACATACTATTTTACTTTATACTTCAATTTCAGCAAAGTCTAAAAATTTTTTTAATTGAAATCTGTAAAATATTCTTTCTCCGATGAGAGTATGTGTTTAATAGATCATTCATTTCTCAAAAACGGTGAGGCTAGACTATCTGAAATATTAATATGTTATTCTATGTATAATTATTAGCTTATACAAATTTTCTCAAGGCGTTTCTAAATTCTTGGATTTTGTGACACTATCTCTTTACAAAGCTTGTTGCGGCCGTAGTTCATAAGTGATAACAGCTGGCACCATGTGAGAGCCAAAAAAAAACGTTACGCAGGAATTGGAAAACTATTTTAAATGTATTTTACATAGAATTTTATATGCTTGTTTATATACACAGATAAATAAATTATTTAGATAATAATTGATTGATATTATGCCCTAAACTGCTTATTGAATTTGAAATAAGCACCCTCAAAAACCATTATAATCATATTTTACTATTTCAATTGATCCTTTATAACGTATTAATAAATTTGTTAAATTAATTATACAGTTATTTAACATTTTGATACAATTTGTTAGTTAAATTCGAAATAAGCGGCCTTAAAAGCTTTTAGAGCAACATGTAACTAAAAAAATATATATGTAATAATCTTACCTAATTTATTTATAAATTTATTAACTATTAGTGAAATTATTTACCTATCAAACATAACTTGCTTATCAAATTAAAAATAAGCACCCTCAAAAACCATTAAAATCATATGAAACTTAATTTATTTATTCAATTTCAAGTAAGCACCCTTAAAAACTATCGATACGTTCCACAACCTTATTGTACATGCTTTTTTTCATAATTTACTTATTTATTAAATAATTTAGTATGCACCAAATGCATAAAATACTAATACTCAATGAGTCATAACGCACCTTATCTGATTTAATCTAAATAACCATATTTATGGTAAATACATTTTTTTAATGTTTATTATTTAGAAAATATGTTTATCATTAGTAAGGTTCATCAAACAATTTAGTAATTCAAAACTGTGTTTTCAGTAGCATACGTAATGTAGACAATAAGAATTATAGTAGTCGTAATATCTTGATACCCCTGTGGTTAAAATGCTTGG